GGACACGGGCGGCGGGCGTGCTTGGTGTTTGTGACCCTCTGTGGGAGCTGGGGAAGGTTTGTTTTAGACCGTAAACAACGAGGTCCAAATCCTGCCTCGTACTGTGCAGCGAGATGCTTGGTGTGCTTGGGGGCACGCTGAAAACGTAAAAAAGAATCGTCACGTGCTTTTTTTTGTCAAATTATTTTTACGTTCTCCGTATTAGTATGGCAATATAGCAGAAATCCCAGATTCATCCGCAGCTGGGCCCCCTAAACGTTTGGTGAAATTAAAAAAAAAAAAAAAAAAAAAGAAGCAAATGTTCTGGCAGTAAAGGTAAAGCGAAGATAACTGTATATAGTTTGCTCATGCAGTAACTTTTGACAGACGTGTTAATTTTAGGCGCTTCAGGAAAGGCACTTTCAGTGTGTGAAAAGGGTATTTGACTGCAGTAATGGAATAATTGCAATCCAGAAACACTGTAAATTAAGGTTACACGGCACTCTGCTGAATACTCCAGTAATAGAGTCAGTTCTTCAATCTCAAATACTATGCCACGCTGAAGAAAAAAGGAAAGAGTATATTCCTGTGAGTGCAAATTAAAGCAACTAAGATATTCCAAATTTTATTTCGTGGTTTATGAGTTTAATTTTAAAGGTGACTTAGATGGCATAATTACTTTTGGATGCCCCAACACGTGTGAGTAAATCTGTGGGTACGCTAGCAGGCAGTGAGGCCCAAAAGTGGCGGATTTGCAGAGAAGCAGTTGTCACTGAAAAGAGAGTATCCACATTGTGTGCTTTTCAGAAGGGCTTCCTTCAAGCTGACTACTCAATCTCTTAGCATTTTGACTTTAGATGTACTTTCAGAGTACTCTTCCCACTTCAATGTAATCTAAAAAGAACCTACTCTTACTGTCCTGGTCCATCTTGTGAAGTGAATGAAAACACAGTAAGTGGGATGATTGGGAAGCTTGCTTCACTAGTACGCTACTGATTCTAACCAAAATGCTTAAGTGGAGGTTTAACTTCCATCGACTGTATTTTTGAGTGTCTTACACTCAAAAATGTGGAAGATCTTGATGTGCAAAGTATGTATTTGTTTTTAATAGGTTCTAAAATCCTTATGCTGAGGACATCTTGAGCAGTAATAATTTTACGTTAATATAAGAATTCTCTAGTATTAAAAAAGAAACCCTTCTTTACCTGATTATTTAGAACAGATGGCATTCTCATTGGGCATAGAATAGAGATGTCTTTGTACATGAGTTGTGTGAGTCCCAGATAACTTTGCCCTATGGTTTAGGGAAACAGCTCAACAAGTCTCCTTGTCTTGTCATTCCGACAATGCCTACCCACCCCCCCTTCCCAGTTTTATAAGATGAGGTTTCACATGGATTCTTCATGGATTGCCTTTTAATCGTAACGATGTCTTTCTCCCTGCACTGGATACACTGGTGTCAGGGGGAGGAGTGGTAGGTCAGTCAAGGGATTTGTGTTTGTGTCTCATTGCTGGCATTTTAGTTGTCCCTTTAGAATTCTACCACTGAAAGTTTCATGGGGGAGGTTTTAGGGGTAGAAAAAACCTTTGTGATATTTATAGCATAAGTCCTGTTTATATGCAATCCTTAGTTAAACCATAGGTAACGTGTTAGTTGATGCAAATGTGTCTTGGAACAAAACCATAAGTGAGCAAAAAATAACTGCTGAAACAACCATTAAGTTGTATGAACTCAGCCTAGTATGACCACAGTGGGGGTAATGTATGAGGACCCACCTGCAGCTTTCCTTGTCCCCACCTCTAGATTAGCGGTGTGGAGAGGAGAAAGAGCAATAGAAAGGCTCACTTTGCTGTAACAAATCATAGGCTATATCACAAAAGTAACTCCATCTCCAGCAGTACGCTGTATTTTTCAGTTAAGGTCTTTTTCAGGCTGGAGGCAAGTTTTGCTCTTGTTAAGTAATACAAAAGGAAACCTTAGTATTTTGTATAAATGTGAGTTAGCAGGTCAGAGTAAGGCTCAGCTGACCGGTCAGCTACTGAAGCTCTAGAAAGGAGGGTGAAATGTGCTATGAAGGGCAAATTGACTTTAGAAGCATTGGTGAAATACAAATAAATTGAGTTTAATCATTAGACATACACTGGAGAGTGGAAGAGGTAGCCTAGGGTATCACTCAGTCAAAATGCCTTTAAATGAGAGCCTGCATCTTAAAGAATATTCAATTAGTCTTTAGAATTATGTTGAGATAATTTGTTTGTGAATGACTTAAATTGAACCATCAAGATAATGTTTGTTGGTGTTTGTTTGGATTCCAGTCTTGGCCCATTGACTAATACTTTGATAAGTAAATAGCATTTGCTATCCCTGTTTACACTTCTTTTAAGGTTGGTATTCTCTACGGTACCATCTCAAAAATACTTACTTACATCTCAGCTAGTAAGGCCATGTCTTGTGACATCATATGTCAGATAGAAAAAGGTCTACAGTTTACTGATGGGAAAACTGAAACACAGCTTTGTGTGATTTGGTGGAAGTCTTGACTAGAATATCTGGTCTTCTGCATCTTTTTTTCCATATGATATAAATACTGTCAATTCTGATGAACCTCTGCTTTTCTGTTTTCATAGAAATGTTTCTGAAGTTCTGTCTGACTTATGTCTAAAATATCCGTAGAATTTTCTTTCAGTTTCACATACTGGGAAGAACAATTGTGGACACAAGTCAGAGTTAAAAAGCTAATACCAGAAACAAGATTATGAAGATAATTTCCAAAAAGTATTTTTTTTGACTTGCCAATATATTTGCTTCTTGGCTCTTCCAGGTTCTTGTGTCCTTCTAAGTTAGAGAAGGTATATTAGAACCACAGATGGTTAATTTAGTATTCATTAAAAATATTTTGACATACATACCTGTGAATGGGTTCTGACAGTCATTAAACCAAAATAATTCATGTGCTTTGTCTTAACCGTGGCAGGGAGTAGAGTATGTAGCTATAAATCAAAGGTGTTTGTCCTTTAAGTAAAGGCAAGTGTTGACAGTAGATGTTAGTTGTGCATGCTTTACATTATGCCAGCTTAGCCCTTATCTTAAGTGAATATTTTATTATCCAACCTAGTTCTTATTTAAGAAAGCAACCAAAACAACACAATTTTCAATAGTATTTTGGGGGTGATGTGAGTTGTTTTTTTTTTTTTTTTTATTTAGGTGAACCATGCCTTTAGGAAATCTGTGCGTTGTTGTTACCTTCCCAGAGTAACTCTGTTTGAATACCAGCAGAATTGAAGGATTGTAAGTGGTGAGATTTTGCTGCAAAGGAGTCTCTGAAATCCCTTCAGCCCTGTTTCATTTTTTAGCGCTGAAACAAACCAAATCCCACAATGTGATTTTTATCCTTGATC